CAGCTGACTATGGTGGCAATTTGTTTGTAAATAAATTTTCCATGTACCCGCTTGTTCTTCTATAAGTGGGAATACCTCTCTTATTCCATCCGTTGTGCTAGCCAGCGATCTTACTCATCTCCTGTCTGAACACTCTGTACCACCCTTTCTGCCCCCTCCCTGCAAAGCTCTCTTTGGGCTTCTCTTTGCTCTTTGCCAGGTCTTTCCCAACCCCTTCCCTCTGCTATCTCGTGTGGGGTCCTCAAGGAGCAGGAGATGCTGCTGGCTTCGGTGCTGGCACCAGGAGCTGTTTGCAGGGACGCTCCAGGTATTGATCAGAATTAATGGGGAATGCAGAGTCGAGCAATACCCATGATTAGTTGAAATCGTTATTTCTAGAACTGCATTTCTTTGCTTTATCAACAGAAGCACTCATCTGTTGTGCATTTGCTTGGTCTCTCAGCTAACCTGCGGATTTGGGGAGTGCGGTGTGTGCTGCCCGCTCCATGCTCAGCTCTCGCCCCGTCCTCCTTGGTGCTGGCACGTGATGTACGTGCAAGAGACGGACGTGGTGAACAGTGGGGATAGAGGGAGAACAAGCTCTTCTTTCCTGTCCTCCTGGTTTACTTCCCAGAGTTACGAAAGCTCCAGGCACGCCATGCCATGCCCCGCCACCCCTCAGCCCACTGGCTGATCTCAGCCTCCGTCTCAGCGTGCACATGAATTTCCACTCTTTGTGCTAAACCCTGCCAAAGCAAAATTCCTGAAGCAGAACAAAAAATGTGGAAGACTTTCAAACCCAGAGATTATTGAACTGTCCCTCTTACCAAATGGGAGTCAATACTATGTTCTTTATAAAGTCTCTTGTATAATGTTTAATTCAGTAACTACAACTGGAAAGTCTTTCCAATTATTTTAAACTGCCAGAGACATTTTAATGTGCCTCAGATTTTGTGTGGGCATACCACAGAGTTAAGTGCCATCCATCTTTTAGAGAACTTTAAAATTTAGCCTCGTATAAAAAGGAGAAAAACGGGAAAGAATCCCAAAGGATGTACTTGTCCCACCACCATTTGTGGCCTCACAGACACCTTCTCCTGCATTTTCAAATTGTTTGTCTCCCTCTGTGCAGGGCGAGAGACCCATGAAAACAGCCAAAATCTTTAATTCCTGTGCAGAGCTTCAGCTGAGGGCAGGACTGTGAGCAGATCTTCACTGGCGGCTTCCCAGCCATGCATCGTCGGGCGGTGTTCACTCTCCAGATGCGTCCAAGCCTCTGCAACCGAGGATGTAAAAGGTTGAGAAAGCCCAAATATCTTCTGATTTCTTTTTTGTGCCAGGGCCAGGGGGCCTCTGTCCCTGCCTACTGGCTGCTGTTAGTCCCAAACCCACTGAGGCAGGTGCCCACCCCCCCTGAAACCTGCCAGCAGGCACTGCCGTTGGGTGCGAGGGAAGGGAGCACGTAGCTTTGCTGCCCTGGTTAGCCTCACTCCGACTACATGAGCATTAGTAAGTGGCAGAAACCGACTCTCCGCATCCTTGTACTTTTTTTTTTTCTTTCCCTTTTTTTCATCTTTTTTTTTTTTGCTTTGTTCCTTCTCCCTGAGCTCAGTGGCATGTGAGCACTGAGCGTGTGCATCTCTGCGCCGGGCGGAGGGGGAGAAGGGGCAAGGAGAACGTCTTATAAATCCAGTTCTGCTCTATTAAGATTCATTCTGGTACGACAATGGCTTTTTCTATTGAAATGCTTTGTGAAAGTCTTGCCTAATGATCTGTTAGCTGGGGAAAGGTTAAATTCCTGGAAGATTTTCTGTGTTTGATGAAGAAAAAACAGTGCCATTATCTAGAATTCAAAGTGAGTTTTAGCCAGCTGTTAATAATACTGCGATTCCTCATGTTCTCATTACTCAGAAGTAATGTGGCCATCCCTAGTCATGGCAGTAAAATATTTATAGCATTCTCTTTTGGCCTTGTTTGTACTTATGGAGGGCTGGACATCACTTGAGATCTTCTAAATATGCTTCTTTTTGTGCCTTAGCCACCCATGACAGTACTCTTCTCATCTAACCGCAGCTGTCTGCAACAGAGTTGTCCAGTTTAAGGTGGTCACCTCAGGAGGTGTCAGATATGCTCTTTAACCACTGACAGTTGGGCATCTTGTGCAAACTGGCCATCAAGGTTCTGCTAGAGTCACTGGAGAGACTGGTGCTTCCAGATTCACACCATCCTCAGAGGGCTGCCAAGGATAAAGGAGATAAATGGGCTTGACACCTGATACTCTGGATACCAAGAGTGCCCATATTAACAATCTGGTTTGATGCAGAAATAGGTTTATTAGTAGTTTTCTGCTCTTTGCAGCCTCGTTGCAGTCTGCAGGTCGGTTTGTGTGCTGGGAGACCACTGGAAACCTGCAGGAGCAACCCCCAGACATCTGTGTGTTTCTCCCACCTCTCTCCCCTGATCACTGAGGTTTCCAGCTCGGAAGGTCATGGCAGAACATGAAATACACGTGGCATCTCTGTGTCCAGGCGCATGGAAACAAAATAAGTGTTATGGGGAAAATACAATTTCACAGTGGCAGGCCCTGCGCTGGGATAAACAGGCGGCTTGTTTCCTCCGGTGGATGCATGGAAAATCAATTCCCAGTCCTCTGCAGAGGCTCCTAAACATGAACCAAATCCCATCCTGTAGTACTTAAGAACTACAATGGTTTTGGACCAGTGAAAAGGTTTCATTTCTAGCAGGGGAACTGCAGGTAATGCCTTTTTGCTATCTTCATGTTGTCATTTAGGTGTCTATCTTATCCTCTTTATAGGAGTCTCATTTCAAGTGCAGCTTTTTGCCTGGAGGTCTGAAGTAAATGAGTATTAAGTAGCTGTATCTGTCTCTAATTCACTAAACATCCAGAAAAACAGCTAATGTGCCTGAACCAGTGGGATGAATACATTAGATTAATCTAATTCAGCTACTTTTCGCTCAAACAGCCAGTAGCGTTTAGAAAAAGGTTGTGAAGGGATTAGGAATTTCTTTTCCACATTTTTACTTTCTTTTCCTTTCCATGATTTTGCTGCGTTCCATTAAACATTAGCTATTCAGTTAGCTTATTTCCTTGACCCTCCTTAAAACATTGCTTTTAAAATAAGTTTATTCTTCTCAGACCTCAGAGCTGGCTCCGTATTCACCGAGGCTTTCAGTGACCAGGAAAGGTGACAGAATAAACGCAGACACACAGGCTGTGAGCAGCTTATTGGGACCGGAGCGAGCAGCTCCTGGCTGTCACCATCTCACCTGCACCTTGGTCCAGCAGTGCGGGCACAGGGAGTCTCAGAGCATCGCCCCTGGGCTTAGAGCAATTCCCTGAGCGTGCGGTCGCCTCCTCTCCATCCCCTTCAGCTCCCTTGGCCATGGTGGTGCATGATAGTACCTTAGTGCCATGGCAAGTCTGATGTATGTATCCTCTGCTCCTTTATACCCCTCTTTATTAGAAATGTGTAAAGAGACCCAGAGCAGGCTGCCTAAACTCTTCAGTTTAACAGCAAATTACTGGTAGCTGCTCTCGATGTGCGTATTTCTCACTGCGGTTCGGTCTAGATCAGGATTACCTCACTTGCCAGAGAGAACATCATATGCAATTGTGTCAAAAGCCTTAAAAACCATCAAGGTATAAGACCTAAATGGCTGCTTTGCTGCCCGCAAGCCCTGCTCTCCTGTCAGTAGACTGCTTCAGTGTGATTTGTTCTTGACACATTCCTGTGGCTGTTGATCATCTCCTTATATTTTGTAAGTGCTGACAAGCAGCTTGATTGTTTGTCCAAGTATTTTTCTGGGACCTGAAGCCGGTCTGCCTACTCTGTAATTCCCCAGCGTCTCCTTCCCCTCTTCTGAAAGTAGAGCCCTCAGTCTGCCCTCCCCAGCCCCCTGGAACCTCCCCATTCCCGGTGGCACCTCACAGTTAAGGTGAGGTTGCTTCAGGAAGCTCACCGAGTGTCCTGGGATGCAGTTCAACAGGCAGGGATGATTGAAAACACCCCAGTTATCTAATTACTCTCTAACCAAATCTCCTTGTGCTGCTGTGTGAGTTTGTATCCTGCTAACACTGGCATTAGCTTCGTCAGGGGTTTGATTGCTTTTTAATTTTTAGGGAAGATTGAAGTAAAAAAAGGCATTAAGCGTTTTGGGTCTCCCAGCAGCACCCTGTGCTAATGTCACCCCTCCCTGAATAGTGGGTCAGCTCTTTCTTTGCTCTCTACTTCTGCTGCTGGCTGGTGCCCCACTGCTCATCAAGGCTACAGCAGGGCAGGGCAGATGCCAGCTGGGGAGCTTTGGGGCCAGCAGGTAGGACACGAATCCTGTCAAGACCCCAGGACTCCAGGAGGGCCACCCCAGCAGCAGGGCTTGGCCAGGCTGTCACCAGGCAGGGAGTCCTCCTCTCTGCCCGAGCTTAACGGGTGGCACGAAGCTCCTCTCTTTGTGTGCAGAGCAGAGGTTAGCTGGGTGCGCAGTGCACACCTTGGAGGCTCTACTTGATTGTTGCTGGGGCTTGGTTACTGCACATGGGGCTGTGGGAGCAGAGAGCAGGCTGTGGTGGCGTGCAGCAGAGGTGGCCGTGAGCTGGGAGCCCTGGGGTGGTGATTTCCTCCTCTGCTCCCCAGGCACTGCAGGGATCTTCTCTGGAAGAGATGCAAGGCAGGATAAGCACAGGAAAGGCTGAACTTTCCTTGCCAAGAGCAGATGAAAAGAGATGCTATAAAGTCACTTGTCTCTGGTAACATGGCCCCTAGCTCTGACACAGTGGTGGAGGGCATCCAAGTTTCATGCTGGAAGGAGATGAGCCCACACCTGGAATCCTATCCCTGTTTCAAAGATCAGGTACATTTCTGCGGTTACAGATGTAGCGGGGATGGCATTTGAACCTGGCTCATCCTACGCAGAAGGCAAGGTCTGATGGACAGCAGGATCATTTGAACCTCCCTGGAACTAGGTTTCATTTGAATTACAAACTGGTTTTTGTTTCTTCCCAGCCAGGTCTCTAGACAAACTCTATAACTTTGCTGACTGCTCTGGCCTTCACCTGATCTTTGCACTGAATGCTTTGCGCCGAAATCCCAACAACTCCTGGAACAGCTCCAATGCCCTCAGCCTGCTGAAGTACAGTGCCAGCAAGAAGTACAACATCTCCTGGGAGCTGGGTAACGGTGAGTGTGGGAACAGGAGAGACACGGGAATGGAGCTCAGATATTCCCTTTTAGAAGAGGATATTTGCAAATCCCAGGATGCTTTGCCAATGTAATTTCAGAGGGATTTAAAGGCCCCTGCTATAAGGCAGCACCATCTCTAAGACAGACCTGGCATGTGTTAGCACCTTAGATGGATGTTTCCATTAGTTGCTATTAAGCACATGAAAAGTTTCTGCCCTGGCTGCTGGGCACAGCCAGTCCTGGGGTGGCCAGACCAGCAGCTCTATGGACTTGTATGGTGGCTACAGTGCCAGGGGAACTTGGGGACCCTACAGGGACAGGAGTATGACACCAAAGTGCAGTTCCTTCACCCAGCACACAGCAGAAGGGGCGCGGGAGGAGATGCTGGCACAGGAGAGCAGGCGATGGCCCTCATCCACTCCTCAGAGGCTCCTTCTTCTGCTCCACAGAGCAGGCAGGCAGCTCTGCGGAGCTCAAGCTGTGCAACAGCATGTGAGCTGTGTGTCTCTCTCTGGAAGCGCTGATGAAGGAGCGTAGCTGGCAAGCCTTGCTTTTCTATTTTTATTTTTCCAGAGCCCAATAACTATCGGACCCTGATCGGCCGCTCGGTGAACGGCAGCCAGCTGGGGAAGGACTACATCCAGCTGAGAAGCCTGCTGCAGCTTATCCGCACTTATTCCAGAGCAAACCTCTATGGGCCGAACATTGGGAGGCCCAGAAAGAACGTCATCGCTCTCCTGGAAGGGTAAGTGATGTTGCTTTGATCAAGAAGAGATCAGAAATCCCTCCTGAGACTGCTGCCCTTTGCAGCAGGTAGACTTGCTCTTTGGCTTCTCAATGTCCAACAGCTGCCAGGACAGCGAGGCTCTGTGCAGCTCAACCACCGCAGTACCAGGGGCTTGGGAACATGGTTGTTTGTGCTGCTAAACTTCTGCAGAGATCCCTGGCGGGATTTTGGGCTAGGATGATTAACACTCTCCCAAGTATTCCCAGCATTTCCCACCTTGTTGAGATGTGAAGATAACGCAGTGGTGTGGGTGCAGGCTCCTGCATGCCTGTGGGCTGCAGGGCCAGGAGGTGGGTCCTGGCACCACTTACCAGTGTAGATGTTGTCTCAGAGTCCCCCTGGACAAATTGCTTTGCTCTTCCCATTTGGTGACTTCTTCTCCCTGTGCTTTCTCCATCTGTGCAGAGGAAGAACCTGTAGCAACTTTCTTCACTAGCCAAGCCCTCTGCTCCCTCCTAGGAGAATTGGTTTGTCTCTAGTTTGGGGAGGCCAGAGGTGGAGAAGGAATGGTGACAGTGAGGGACGCAGACACCTGGAGGTGACATTGGACAGCTACAGGAACCAGGGAGGTGTGGGAGCCTTGGCAGCAGG